ACTGTAATCCGTGTGGCAACCCTGGGTTACTGGCGATTGCTGTAACCTGTCTGTACATGTCTTAAGTCTCTGCAGTAACAAACTTGTCATGATACTTCTAGTGATTGCAGTGCAATACCACTTTACCTAAGGTAGTTGGTTTTTCCCGAGTTTGATTAGAAATTTCACGTTGATTCTTTGTTCATAATATTATCAGCCATTTTTTTTACGAGTGCCCCTGACACTACCTGAGGTAAAGTGGTACTGCTCTGCAATCACTAGAAGTATCACGACAAGTTTGTTACTGCAGACTTAAGACATGCACTGACAGGTTACAGCAATCGCCATCAACCCAGTGTTGCCACACGCATTACAGTGTTGTCAGTCTCATTACTTTATTGTCAGACCTCGTATGTCTCAGATACATAATAGATTTTTTATTATCGATTTTTTGCGCGTGCAAAAAGATTTTTTGGAAATATTTTTTTAAGCTTTTTTTGGACACTACTCGGTAGGTTCACAACGCATGCAGAAGTGTTATTCCAGAGTACGCTTACCATCGGAAGCTTGGGAGAATTTCATTAACTTTGATCATTTGATCACGAAAGTTTCATTTTCTCGGCAGAAAAATAAGTGCAGAGACTACATTTTAACAACTAAGTTTGGCAACCGATACGGACTGTGCTTGAAACAATTGACATTCGCACTCAAGCCTCATTCAAAAAGGTCCACGATCGACACGAAGTCCATCAAATTTGAACCTTTTGTATTGTTAAAAATCACTTGACCGCTCAAAAGGATGAAACTTTTCATCATTTGTTGAAAATGCTTCCACTCTTGCAGGGCAGCCAGCGAAGCAAGTAAACATAACTTCGGGGTCAATGCAACCAGCTAGAACATAAAACATGCTCTCAACGTTCGACCGACGTGGGACTTTCAAGGACGCCAGTTCGAAAACTTCGTTTTTTTTTCCTCCTGACTCTCAGACTGTTAGACTGTTAGTCTCGTTTTCTGCCAACTCTGACTGCAGCGTAGGCCAAAGTCTCCGCGTTGGAAGCATGTCAGACTCGACTCTATTGATGACTTGCACTGACCTGATCTGACCTGACATTGGATGGATATTGGATGAAGGCGAAAGAAGAGAAAAAACCACTTTGTATCTGTTGAAACTCACAGAAGAAACGAGAGAGGAGAGACTGACAACCGCCCGCCAATGCATCCACCGAGCCTCTGCCCGGGCGAAGCAGGTTTTCTTCTCGCCTGGGGCTGCGACCTCCCCTTTCCGCTCGAGTGGAAGCATTGCATGCGATGCGATCAGGGTGTTCGTATAAGATCCAGGGATGCCAGATAGGGAGGATCCACCCTCCCGTTCACAGAGATCGGCATGTACCACAACGGCGCTCCATGAACCTGGGTTGCCGATGGGGGACACCGATGTAGATGACTGCGGTTCCTGTTAATTCTGAAGGCGTCCGGAATGAGCATTAACAATTGCTCTTTGATAATTTGTTCGCACGCTTATCGCACATGCCCGAATGACTCATTTTACCCATTTCCAAGGGGAAATTAGGCATAATATAAGTTTACTTTTCTCAAATGGCAACATATACTTGTAAAACACGAGAGAAATCTTATTAGCCTCTGCACGTAGTTCGCCGTCAACGAGTGGTTCAGCCACGAGCTGGATTGGATTTGCAGAATATTGTGAATTTTTTCCTTCGATGAGCGATTTCGGTTAAATCTGATGAATGTGGAGTACGTTCTGCAGAATTAAGGGCTGCGTCTCAAACATCCTATTGCAAAAAGCCATGCACTATCACTGATGCAGCAGATTCTCATTGCCGCTCGCTGGCTAGGCAATGGAGGGAAGTACCACAGGCAACCAATATGCACGTCTCCGAGGCGTCAGTATGCAGATGGGCTCACGATGTTGCGAATGTAGGGATGTGAAGCCCAATTTTCAATGGCTTCGCCTTTCTTCGACCTCAACCTCAACCACCCACCACGCCGCAATCAACACGATTTTCGGCCTCCTCCTCACAAACGGCAAGCCCGACCGGAATCCCCACTCCAAATGGCACGTCACGGAATCTGAATATGGTTTAACCTTTCTTCAACCTCAACCTCACCACTCACACTCCCCCCCCCAACCTTCTCTACGGAACTCACTAACGTTGGGCCTAGGCCTAACCGACGGACTGTCTTCGGATCAGGCCTAGGCCTACCTTTTTTTCTTTCGAAAGAAACGCAATCCTCGGCCTAATCAGACCGATAAGGATTAATCCCTGGGGTCGTATTCAATATAGGTCTTATCTCAGTCTCCCATGCTTAGATTCGAGCAGGCCACTAACTTTTCGCGGCTAATCACCCTACTGGAATGGATGAGCCTATTCGATATCCTTCTTAAGCATAGCATCGAGCTAAAGTTGACTGCTCAAATCTAAGCGAGGGTCCCCCATTGCTTATATTTTGGCTGAGTGGACTGGTGAATGACATGATTAACACTTTCATTCAAGTGTCGAATATCTCCTATAGAAGGACCCTTGCTCGTGAAAGAGTTCTTCGCCATAAAATCGACCTTGATGGTTATTACGACTCCAACTTGTAGAAGCGTTACTCGATTTGACAGGGGCGGAAATTCGTTTCTTCATTGGCCTTCGAGAGGGCAATAGAAGCAGTTGCTCCCAGAAGTCACCACATATCGCATTGTTATTGTTATTCAAGTCTGTGTTGCTTTGCGGTACTTTGCTGCAGGATATTTTCAAGCCGTGCCAAGTGACCGTGGAGAAATCTCCCAAATGAAATGTGTCACTATGATCCGAAATTCCGTCCTCAAATTCAGAAATGCTCAATTTTGAAATAAATGATCAAATGCAAATACTCACACATCCATCCATCGGCTATTAGAATTTTCTTACCTTCCTTGGTAATTTTCTTACCTTCCTTACTCTCTTGAGACTGGGTCACCTGAAAAATACAGCGAGGGTGAACCGAGATCATTAGGAATGAAAAGTGAGAAAGTTGCGAATGATGTCGACCAAAAAATGAAGTTTCATGATTGCTATGATCCAAAGTGCATCGAATTCACACTAAGTTTTTTTTTCCGATGCATGAGACATTTCCTTCGGTTTCAGATTCCGTCTTGCACGGTTTCCCGTACCACAGGCTCATTTCGCCACCCTGCCCACTTCCACAGCATGCCCTTCATCGATAACACTATAAAAAGAAGAGCATCACCGAGCCTTGCGCCTATTTGCCCAGAGCTCTCGAACCTCCTTCGAAGCTCCCGGGGATCTTCACCATACGATCGTCATCCTCTCTTCATTCAGACCTTCGGCCCCGTCGGACTGTTATGTCCACACTTTCGACGCTCATTCACCGTTTCCAATATCGTTGTGGTGATGCTACGGGTTGCACTTTGGGCTTTTTTTTTCGTGCATGGAAGACTCGCTTAGATGAAGATTTTGCACGAGCGAATTTGCAATCACGACCAAACTTGGAGTTTCGCGGGAGGGGGAAATAAAAACAGCTTGGAGCTGCTCATTCCCTGACTGGTAGAAATAACTTCTAAAGCACTTATAAATTCTTGGGGCGACAGCCTAGCGAATGCGAGACCAGTTTAAATCTCGACGATTAAGAGTTGATTTGAAAATTCCCGACTGAGTGGAAGGAATGAAAGCGTCTGACTTCAATGCAAGGCACTTTCTTAGACGGAGAAAAGAAAATTGTTGCAATTACCGGTGTGATAGACGCCATGGTTCCTTCCGGTGTATGCCTCGGAACCGTCCCACGTTTTGCCCTAGACATTTTCGCGATCACGAATTTAAAGTTCGAGCCAGAAAGATCCCGGGTAGATGTCAAATTCGATCCGAGGTGGCGCATCGCGTCGACTCGGGGTATCGTGTCGTGGCATCACACGGAGACAACCGACAGAGAAAGGACTCTCCGACCTGCCAGTTCATGACGTCATCGGTCGAGCCCTTTTTCTAAGCTTGTCCAGCACTCTCACTTTACCTCAGTTTTACAGTTTCTCTGTTTTCACCTGTGTCTTACCAGCATTTTACATTTAATTTTCACCTGTAACTTACCTTTTGTTACCTACAAGGAATCTCTTACCCCAGACTTAACTCTTCTTTCAAAAATATGACGTAATTCTCACCTCATATGATGGATGAAACATGAACCCTGCGGCCATCATCAATCTTCCACAGGAGAATCACATCGTGAAACTGCCAGAAAAATGAGCTTCTAAGCGACATTACCTCACGACTCGGCGGTCTGACCACGAGTCTCAGAATCCCGAATCCATTTTTCCATCGGCCCATTCGATCAGCCAAACAGTCGAGAAAGTTCACAGACGATGAGCCTCGCCGAACGGGAAAAGCAACCAACTCGCATCCCGACCCGAAGTCACGACGGCTCCACGAGCCAAATGGGGAAACGGCGTATTTCCGACGGGACGACAAAAACGAGCGCGAAGGTGCTAGGGGGAACTTTTCACTGGATTTACCCGAATTTCGCCTTCGAGTCTTTTCTCTTCTCGAGATTCTGCTTCCTGAGGAGTCCTTCCCCTTGAGCTTCAGATAAAAATCGGGGATTCCCTCTTTTCCCCTCTCTCAACCTTTCGAGACCCCTCAGGAAAATATTAGGTGAAAAAGCGGTTAAACGAGGGGTAACGTTTCGTATGGGCGTCCCATCGGTTGAACAATGACGTCACCGATGACGTCACGGCGTTCAGCCTTCTCCCGTGCAGTTTCCTCCCGACTTCCCATTCATACTCGACCTCGTGCCGCTTCCGCCAGTTTTCAAACGTGATGTCACGAACGAAATGCTCGGGGACGAGACGAAATGAACTCTTCCGTTCGTGTCCGTCTGCATTCTTCGTCTTATCGGAAGGGATTGGAATGGTAAACGTTTCAGACGATTGAATGAAGCTATCAGAAAGTGGAAGATGCATGTACCTTCATATGTCGTTTAGCATTACAAAAATAAACAAATGTTACAGGTCAACTTTAACGTTACCCCGAGCAATCCAAACACGAAAAATTGGATTCAAAAAAAAGAATATTTCTAAAGAAATATTTAAAGTTTCATCCTATGAAAGGACGCTTTAAAAACAAGAACAGCGCGAGCGCTCGAAGAGCACACAATTTTAAAATGCAATCGGCCTCGCGAGATCCGCTGGAGGAGCAGACGGAATCCCAGACGTTGTAGAATTCTTTGAGGGGGACGCCGTGCATGCTGATGACGGACCTGGCTCGGTGGGGGGAATCGGGAACGTGGTTGAAGAACTTGGGGTCGCCGAGGCGGTTGATGTGGAGGTTTTGGGCGATGAGGCCGGTGAGGAAGACGTCCTCCAGTTTGAAGAATGGGTGAGGGAGGGCGGACTTCCAGAGGGGGTGGAGGGTGTCGGAGGTGAGGAGGTAGGCGGGGCCGGCTACGAAGCGGGGGTAGTGTGTGGCGGGGTATTCAGATTCCGAGACGTGCCATTTGGAGTGGGGATTCCGGTCGGGCTTGCCGTTTGTGAAGAGGAAGCCGAAGATCGTGTTGATTGCGGCGTGGTGGGTGTCGATGAAGTCTAGGAGTTGAAAGGTGTTGATGAACATGTCGTCGTCCGTCTTGAGTAGGAAGGTGATGTTTGCACAGTAATTGAGGGTCCATTCGAGGATGGACACTGCTTTCAGCGTCAGGTTATCGTAACGGTCGATGAAATCTGCCTGAATGATGTCGCCGAAGTGGCGACTTTCCTCTTCCAAGGAATCCTGGACGCGTCGGTCGTGCGTCGGCGCGAGGGCGGCGAAGAAGGCGAGGCGGACGTCCCGACGAAGCGCGACGTGTCCCCAGGTTTTCCGGATCACTTCGCGGTTCCTCGCGTTCTGCGCCCTCGTCGTGACCAGGACGAGGAGCCTCGGCGTCTCCCATCCCTCGCACAGAGCCCGATTCGGGATGGGAAACCCCAACGGGTGGAGTAGGTCCTCCACCGCCGCCGACGAAAAGATTCCCGAGGGCGGAGATTCTCGCTCTCCTGCTCAACGAATCCACGAATGCGTGCAAATTAGTGAACGATTTTGCATCGATCGATGTTTGGAAAATGGAAACTGAACGTTTGGAAAATTAGCGCGCCATCAGTTAATTGTTGTCGCAGGACGCGGCATGAAATCGCGACTTTGAATCGACGTATCTCGACATCTACGAGAGCTTTTTCCACGAAACTTGCGCTATGAATAGGCTGGTCTCAAACAAAACTTTATCTCCGTCGAAATTCACTTTGTAAAAGAAAAGCTAAGAGAGAATATTGAAAAGAAGGTGGAAATCGATCGCGACAATGGTGCACCGATAGTTCACGATTCTGTCGGTAGGTGGCAGCCCAAGCATGTTTACAGTGACGCTTCTGAACGGAGTGTTCTCATCCGACCGTGTCCGACTTCGTGCCGGACAATGCCGGACCCCATGCGGCCCTGCACACAATTGGGTTGGACCCTGTAACCGCATCCGGCACACTGCCTCCGTCCGATTATTGCCAGTTTGGAGCCACGAAACGTGACTTTGTGGTCGTCGTTACGAGAGCGGACAAGCCGTAAAAGATAGCTGCGAACCGATGTGTTCGTAACGCTCCGAGATTTTCCACGAGGCCATGTCATAAGCCTTTGTCGCGATGGCAAAAAGCGTGTTGCGGGTAACGGCGATTCCGTGGGAAGTAGGGGAGACATTATTTAACGCGTGCGGGAATTCTTTACGTCGGCATCAGCAGCAGGAGTGGAAACAAAATCCCGATATTTTTGCTCCACCTCTTACCTCTCGTTTACCTCTTCCAAACTACGCGAGCACAGAGAACACCCTACCGCACACGAAAGGGAAACTTCCCGGAATCTCCGCGGAACTGCGAGAGAAGGAAAGCACCTGGGCAAGTCTCGCGTGTTGGCGCATGCGCTGTGAGCAACACGTGCTGCTCCAAACCCAGACTCAATTTTCATTTCTTCAGCTCTCGACCTTCATCAGGCAGTGCTTACATTCTTTTGTTCGCACTTGAACGCATGGCATCTGACTTCCCGCACCTAATGTCCGAACCCTTTCGTTGATCATGAAATCATCCAACATGGCAACCCTGGTAGGTGCATCATGCCCGCCCTATCAAGGGGACGGGAAACTACCTTATGCCCTCCATAGAGTGTATATAAATGTCTCTGGAGAGGCCTTCGCTGCTTCAAGAGATACAAGTGCCTCCGCCATCTTTGGACTGGAATCGTACGAGGGAGTGGATAGCACGTTAGGGGTGGGTGCTGGCAGGAGGGGCCTTCGGGTATGGGGCCCGGGGTAGATTGCCTCTTTTGCCCTCCCTTCTCTATGGGCCTGCTACCAACTCCCTCGTGTGACTCCAGTCCAAAGATGGCGCCTCACAGCGAGTCTCACAGGCCTGTGAGACTCGCTGCCCCCCTCAGTAGCGGAGCCCTTTCCATTATATACTCTCTGCTCACTGCTATCTCGTCTGTGACCGAAGCGTGGTGGCGCCAACGCCGAATCATGCATGAGCTATTATGTAATCATCGGTTCACGGCAGCGCCATATCGCATGGGCAATACAGGAAGTCGTGCCAGGTTATGAACACATGGGGATTTCGTTGACCTGCAGTAGCTCTACCGTGGAGCTCAATTCTACTTTTCTCTCTCTTGGTCCTCTTTCGGGTATTTGGCGCTTTGAGCTCTGAATTCGTTGTATGACGTCCGAGGCTCCATCGCGCGTTTAAATTGTCAGGGCTGCTGTGTTACGAGAGATCGGTGCATATTCATTCCTTCCATTCACTTTTTAAGAGTTCTAGTGTGCATTCCGTTCTGTTCCGTTCTGTTCTGTTCACATGATGCAGATTGGACCAACAGTGCGGAGCTCATTCAGCGCGGAAGAGATGGAAAGAGCGTCAGTGTAATCGGGACTCCATGGTCGAAATATGACCAATATGACCTCGCCTAAGGGATCAAGGAATCGTCTCAAATATGAATGATACTTCTAGGGGTTTAGTGTCTGTTAAAAGAGACTGAAAGGTCCTGACGCTGTGGACACCCAGAAAATGAGTAAAGTTTCTCCCGTGACCTTCGATGCAGATGATTTTCCCCCTATCCACGTTACAAGCTTCACGCCATCTCCTCTAAGCTCTTCAACTGTACAAATATATTCATCTCCAACCACATTTACTCTGCAAAAGCGCTCGGCAAAACTAATTTTTCTTAGCTTGTCCCAGAGTCTTTAGAGCCTTGTGACTGACGCCCACGCTCGTTAGAGTCCCTTCTCGTCGGATGATCGACAATTTTAGCCGGACTCGTTCACCCGCTCCGTCGGTGCATCGCGAAGCAGAGATTTTTTTTTTTTTAAATTGGAAATTCACCTTCAAAGTTCCTGAGGAGCGAGGTCTCCTGGACTGGAATGTCGCTGCCGAGGACCACGATGAGCAATCCAACGACGCAGATCGATAGGAAGAGGAATTTCGCCGTGCTGCAACGAAAAGCAGTCGCGAATAGGTCACGTGCAAGCAGATCGCAAGCAGATTGCCCACTTCTTGCCTTTCAAGCTTTTTGTGGAAAGTATTAATAGAAAGACATTTTCCTGGACTCTTTTTTTGCTTCCGGATGGCTTTACGTAAGAGTGTCAGTATTTAAAGAGTCAAGAGGTAAATATTCTCAGAGTTGTGCGATCGAAATCCCAATTTCACAGCTCTGACCTACACCAAATCGGCAGTACCTGTACCTGGGCAAGGGAATCATCGAACAAATATATTTATCACGGTGAGGGGCTCTAAGTGTCGGAGCATTCAGACGGACCGGATCGATTTGACAACCTGGAATTCGACTTGGCATTTGAATGAAAAACAGATCGGAAAAAGTCGTTCCGAACTACTCAAGACACAAATACGATCGCATTCGGCTGGATTGCCTCTTTGTGAGATTGAGACTCGCTTGTGATTAGATTTAGATTAGAAACCTCTGTTATTTCTTCACGCTCGGGTTTCTTTCGCATGCTGGGATTGCCTGTCCGAGGAGATCCCTGTGAAATCCCTCTTATCCCAGCTGCACCCATCTCCAGAGATATCGAACGACGCTGGTGTTCCCCCACGATGGGCTTATGTCGCGTTTTTCCTCGCCGCCTCTCCGGTGGTCGGCTCTGTCTCGCAGGCGTTTTTCCTCGCTTCGCCCTCTGATATCAAGCATGGTCTGACCGATACTTTTTGCTCTCTTCACCGCCTGCACCCGGTTCGGGACCAGGTACCTGTTTCGATTTATTTCCATTGAACGGAAGCACTCTGACCTGAAGATAAAATATAGATTCCGACTAGTTTATTGAGTCGCCCGTAAACTGGAGCTGAACTGACAGGAATTAAACTGAAAGTAAATTGGAGTTAACGTGAAAATCCTGGTAAAATGCGTCTGTGGGATTTCTTACTAAAATGAAACACACCACATGAAGTCAATCCCCAGTTAACGGCCTGCTCGTTTCAGTTTATTCCCATGCTTGGGAGGTTGGAGAAGTTCGATAAACCTTTTCCAGTCCGAATTTTTCTTCTATACATAAACTAAATGAACATCTATATATAGGGCAAGGTTTGAGGTCAGGCAAGGTTTTTGGTTCGTCTCTGTACACATCGTCCTTTTCGTAACCCTCCAGGAAAAATTTGAGTGGGTTGAGGCCAGGGTAGTGAGGGGACCACGCGATCTCTGCACGCCTTGAGATGACCCTCTCACCGAACATTTCTCGCAACGATTCCATGGTCTCATTCGCTTTGTGGGGCGTAGCGCCATCTTCCTGAAACCATTGAGTATTGAGATGGAGTTTCCAACGCCGTCGCAATCTGACGTTGCAAACTCAATGGTTTCACCAAGATGGCGCTATGCCCCACAAAGCGAATGAGACCATGGAATTGTTGCGAGAAATGTTCGGTGAGAGGGTCATCTCAAGGCGTGCAGAGATCACGTGGGTCCCTCACTAGCCTTACCTCAACCCTCTCGATTTTTTTCCTGGGAGGCTGTGCAAAGGACAACGTGTTCAGCGACGAGCCAAAAACCTTGCCTGACCTCAAGAGGGCCATGGAGGTTGTCGTGCGATCCATCCCATCAGAGACGTGTCTCCGAGCGATCGAGAACTTTGCACTGTCTCAATCGCTGCGGTGAGCACATTCAACTTGTCATCAGGAGATTAAAAAACAATGGGCTGAAAATAAACTCCTGATTTGTTTGTTAGTAATTACAACTTTAAATCACGTTTCATTGGCGCTCCCTGTGGACTTCAAGACCGGAGCACGAGTGGGGTAAGATTTCTAGTTCACTAGAACGTCAACGTGGATAAATTTATCGGATACTCAGACAGAATTGAATTACTCGTCATACGAATCAACAGTAGATACCGATTGAAACTCACTGAAGTGTATGCACCAACGATTAGCCACCCAGGTGAAGTCAAAAATTTACCTTGTGAAATTTGCCAGCTCCCACAACTTCAAGATGATGAACTCCTTTAAAATATCAAAAATAATTAGGGCTGGGCGATATGGATTTTTAAAGTATCGATATCGCCGACCTATATTTCGCCCGATATCGCGATATCGTCAGGGTTCAATTAATAATAATGGCGCATTTATTTCAGGACAAAACCTCTTTATTTTGGTAATGATTCAGACATGATCTTGAATGTATGACATCATGGTAGTTTGTTGTTCAAACCTAGGAGAGAGAACATATCGACGATCTCTGCCGCAAAGCATGCACGATGTTCATTTGCAAAAAATCCATATCTCGAAAAGAGTCGCTCACACGGGGCGAAAGTTCCGTGAATTCGCAGGCGGGCAAGCGACGGGTGTCTCCTTACGTAATGACTCTGCCGTATCGGTGGGTCATCGATCTCCATTTCGCCGCTTTATTAATGTAAGATGGAACGAAATTAATGTCATTGATTCCGTCCTGCGGCTCTGCTTCTGCAGGATCGTAGCTGTCCGCGTGGGTTAGGAAAGTGATAATTGCCTTGTATGACTTCTTGCTGGAGGCCGTCATGGACTCGATGGTAGATTGTCAGATTCGAAATGTAACCGTGAAAGAGTCATGAGCCCGTGAATGGTTTTCAAGGTGTTCCTTTTTTTTTTTTAAAGAAAGGTACGTCATGCGCTTAAAGCCTGGGA